ACTTCGCCGGAGTGGCCGACGAGGGAGCAGCCCGGTTTGATTTTCAGCGCGGCTGGGCCCGGCGTGCCCCACGGCCGGCTCCTCCCGAGGGGGCGGGTGCGGGTGCGGTGTCGGTGTCGTCTCCTTCCCACTCCATTTTCCATCCAAGCCTTTCAGACACAGCAGGGAAAAGCTGGGGGTCGGTCACCGCCGGCCTTGTGAGCCCCCCGGCCGGGGGCTGCTCCTCTCCTGCGTAGTGGCCCGACCGCCACGTCCAGCAGCACCCACCGCCGCCCCATCCGCCGCCAGCGGTTTGCAGAGGAAACCCCGGCTGCCAGGCCAGTCCCCGTTAGGTTTGGGGAGGGCCGCTCCTGCCACACAGCACGGGGGTCTCCTAGCTGGGGTGCAGCTTCTGCAGATCTTCATGAATTAGTAAATATGCATAGTTAATGACATGCTCTCTCATTGAGAATGTGTAATTAATTCATGATGCATGAGCTTTTATTGGGTATAGATGAGCTTTGAAAAAGGAACTGGGAATAAGGAACCGACTTCAGCCACATTGCACTGTAGGAGTGGGGCAGATGCTGCCACTTCCCTTCTTCCTCAAGCGGGAAGGGTTTTACTGGGGAGTTTCAGCCTGTCCTTTAAGACGGCACAGATCCATCTTCCCCTCTGCAAACGTTGCTCTTCAAACCACCCCACAGCTTGAGAGAGTCAAGTGTGTGTGGGGAATTCAAGATCATAGGAAATACTTAAGCTGCCTCTCAAAACAAAAGCCAGGCTGCTTGGTTTCCTTGCCCCCTAGCAGTGGGCTCTAATGGCAGCTTCCCTTGCTCTGCATCCAGAGGAAGGGCATCCCAGGCTTATAGGAAGAGTTATATCATACTGGTATGTGCATGAACCTGGTCCCCTGAAGTATTTGCACAACAGCCAACAAAGTCAAAGCCTGAAATACCATAAGTACAACCATCCCAGTGGCTAACAAAGCTTATTTTGGTGCACAAGCCCTGAAATGAAAAAGCATGATGACATTTGTTAGTAGGATTTTTTTCATCTTTGTAGACGTGAATCTTTGACAACAAGGGGCAATGGGCTCAAGTTGCAGCAATGGAGGTTTAGGTTGGATATTAGGAAAAACTTTCTCACAAGGAGGGTGGAGAAGCACTGGAACAGGCTACCCAGACAAGTCTCCATCCTTTGAGGTTTTTAAAACCTGGCTTGACAAAGCCTTGCCTGGGATGATCTAGCTGGGCCTGGGCCTGCTTTGAACAGGGGGTTGGACTAGCTGTGACCTCCTGAAGTCCCTTCCAACCCTAATTCTTTGTGATTCTATGACACTTGAAGGCTCCAAAGTATCTGCAAGTTTTGTCCTGCCCTTTTCCATGTTATAGGTTACTCTTCTTCCTATTATGAATGAGTGGCTCATACTGGCATGCCTACTTTTTTGTAAAGTATCATCCCCAAATATCTTTGTGCAATGAGATAATGACAGGCATCAGCTCAGCACTGGATTTACCTAAGGTCACACAAAAACTCCATAGTTGATCTGGGAACACAATTCACATTTCCTGAGTCTGTATGGCAGGGGGTAGCGACAAGGTTGACTGAACAAGTCAGAAGGACTCAGTTCAGAGGAGTTTAACAATAGAAAAGCACTAAAGATTTATTTATATCAGAAAAAGCCACCTTGCCAGGTGAAACTAGAGCCTTTGGAAAAAGCCTGCATGCAGAACGAGTGTACCATGCTTAGGATGTATAAACACAGCATAGCTATATCGATGGTGGCAACAGTAGGTAGCAGCACTAACATAGATCCCATAGGGATCTTGGCATTTTAACTTATGGTATGAAAAGGGGATGAACAATAACAAAACTATATAGAACATGAACACATGGAAGTGCAGGGAGGAAAACTAACTAGGGGAGTCTGCTCTCTGCCCTAAGACTTCTCCTTGGCTGACCATATCAAGCAGCCCATCCATTTCCCCAAAGCTTTTCATGCGCTCACTCTGGAGTTCCAGCTTTAGGAAAAGCCAGATGGCTGGGTTGGTCCATGGCTAGAGGGGGTGTGGTGATCTCTGACTTCCAGCTTGAGTGAAGATTCAGTGTTTAGTGTAGCAGGAAAGCAGGTCACAAGGCTTCTGACAACATGAAGAAAAACTCCTGAAATCCCCACGATGGGACAGAGACATAACAGCTTCCCGTGAGTGACACTAGGCACTTGATGCCACCCTTACATTCGGAGCGGGTGTGTGGGTGTAAGAGAGAAATGTTCTACCGAGAAAACAAAGGAAGTTAGTATTGTGAACTCCAGTGAATTGCCAGACTTCATATTCTTTGCTTACTGAACACATTCTATAGTTGCTGCTTAACTAAACCACAGCTGTTTAGCATCATTAACTGAACTCACAGCCTTCCCCTTTGTTTTATTTTCTAGCACTCTGAAAACAACAGCTGATTGCGAATTACCACGGGAGGGCATATCAGCACTGTGCACGACACACAGCATTGCTTTTACCTGAAACACCAATAAGGTGGATCAGATTCTGCCCCCTGTGACAGGCAGAGATATTAAAGGAGGTAAGGTTTCCTGCCAATTCAAGGGAGCCACCTTCACTACAACCAAATCCACTATCTACAGTCCATCTCTTGTATTTTTCCCTTCTCAGGCTCAGAGGAGGTCCTGTGCTCACTTGAACATTGTGGCAAGCTGCGGACACAATTGCTGAGAATTCTCTCTTACAAAGGAACTGGGATGGCCCAACTGTAACCGCATCTCAGCTGCCATCGCTAAGCTCACAGTCAGCTTTGTGATAGTTTTCTTCCCTTCCCCAGCTTCCCCCTGCTTTTTTGTTCACTGAATGCCTTGTGCCTGCTTGATTCTCAGTGCAGTAGAAACTTTCAAATATCTAGTGCTTAAGGTGCAATAGATGCTTATTTGATTACTAAGTGAGCTTCATTTTCCCCTTAGTTTTCTAGCTTTTGCCAATACAGCATCATGAACTTTATATTTCTTAAGAGTATCTTTTTTATCAGTTCTATGAAAGTCAGAAACTGTGCAGCGTAGAGGGGATCTAAAGGCAAGATGCAAATCCTGGTGTGAACAAATGGACTCAGAGCAGGAGTGGATTCCCCAGGTCGTGCTACAGTCACCAGGCTTTGTGTTCAGTCTTAAAGGCTAAATCTGTAGTGCTAATATTGCACAATTTCACCAAATTCTTCTGAGAGAAATGCCTCTCCCCTTCCTTCCTCTCCCTCCAATGCTCTGAAGTATTGGGGCACAAGAGGGTGAGTTATAGCAGACTTTTCAACCTCCCATTTGGATTTTCTGTCTCCTGCAAAGTCAGGTCACTTCAGGAAAGGGATTTTATAGCTTTCCCTCCCTTTTGTTTTAGTCTGGATTTGCCGACCATGAACTGGGATGCAACTGTCCACTGCAATTCAAGTCTTGCAATGTTTTCTATACACATATATAAACTGAAAAATGTCATAAAGCAGATGTGCCCAGGGCAGTTTTATACTCTTTCCACAATCAATAATTCATATAAAGAGAATGAGATACTATCATGTAGTTTAGATCCATATTTGATCTTATAGTGGTTTAGAAACTGGAGCAGAGTACCTCCTGATTTAAAAGACTGATTTATTTTAAAGGGGTCATTGACAGTGAGAGTTAATTTTTATATCAACTGAGGTTATTTTGACTTAAAAAGCCTTTTTATATGGTAAATGCAAAACAATTTAGTTATTCAATTTTTCCTACCCCAAGCTCCAAAAAGGACCAGTTATACAGATCTAAATATTTACCATTTTCTCTTCCAAACTGTCCTATGGAGTCATCATCTTAGGAGACAGCAACACTCATATCTGTCTTCACTGAAAAGCCTTTTGAACAATACCAAATATGAGCAAACACCATTATCCCTTCTTAGTGGATGGGGAGCCTGAGACATAGAGGAGACTTGATATTACCTAGTAAGCCAACAGCAGACAGCAGAATAGAACCCAAGTCTCCTGATTCAAGACCTAGTGCACTATCCACTGCTTCTCATAATAGAATAGGTCCCATGACCTTACTAATAGTAACTTAAAACATGATTTTAAGTGGATTTGGGAACAGATGAAGAGGTAGTGTTGCCTGGCACTCCACAGGTGTGAAAACCAGACCTTAGAAGACCCACGGAGGTCATTCGATGGACATCAATGGGAGTTGGACACAAGAGTTATATAAGCTCAGATTTTGTGTCTAAAAACCATGACAGAGGTTGTGCAGAAAGGGGCATTAGTGACTAATGCTACTAGACTGCAACATGCTCAAATCCACAACTGGCCACATGCACTACCCTGCAGGGTACTCTGACTGGGAACTGCTAAGTTTCACCCTCTTTCATTGCAACCATTAAAGCACCCCAGGCCAGCTGACTTTTACCTTATTTTCTAGTAATCTTACAAAATAAAAGGTCTTCCCAAGCCTAGCGGCACAACAATTTCTTTAGCCAATTACACACAAGGGAATGATGTGGCTAGTACTGTATCCAATCACCTTCAATTCCCCAGCCCAAATGGCTGCGTACCATATTCAGCTAGGGCCAGCTTTTCACATCCACCTGGACTAGGGATTGAACACTGCACTTTAGCTCTGTGGCAATGTGACTAAACTGCTCTGCCTAATAGCAGAACCCTCCCTAGTACTCGAAGTGTACAGGTGTTTATGGAGACAATCTCCTCTGCCCCAAAAACAAAAGCACAAGAGACTCAGGGCTGGGACCATCTTCCCATCTTCTATGCTGCCCTGTGAGTTCATGGTACTACGAGCATGCTTCATACACCCAAGGGGCTAGCATCTCACACCGTCGCAGTGGATCCCCCTGAAGAGTGATGGGTTACAGTATGGTGGTGAGGAACAAAACTATAAAAACAGAAAAAATCATATGACAGAGGAGATGAAGGGAAGACATTTCTCCCTCCAGAAAGGCCGAGACATGCAGTTGGGCTGGAGGAGAAGATGGTGTTTTGGGGGTGGGGAAGAGCAGTTTCAGTTCTGTTTGCACTGCCAAATACCAAGATCCCATGATGTTTTCTTCTAGCTTCTCACAGCAACCTTGTGGAGCCTCTTCAGACAGGTGTTTGTTTTGGAGGAGGGCATGCACTTTCCACAAAGCCACTTTTCTTTCCCTCCATCTGTTTTTCCTTCCAGAGATGTTCTGGGCAGGAAGCCGTCTGGCAGGCTGGCTACTCACAGACTGTCATGTGGAGCAGGTTTGCCTGGTGACAGGAGAAGCAGAGCTAAAATAAGCTACTTTCGTCTGCACCGTGGTTGGATAGTAAATCAGGGCTTGGTATTTCCACTGAACGCCACAAAGGTCTTAATCTGACTAGAAGGCTAAGGGGGGCCAGTCCTGGATCATACTCTGTACAGAGCCTTGACCATAAGCTTCAAAATGTCTAATCAGTGTTTCCCCTTCAATTGGTATAGATCCACCTTATTTCTGTAAAACTGATGAGAGACCTGTGTTCCCCTGTTATCCTTCAAGCAAGAAGAGAAAGAAGTGATTTACCTGAGGGGTGAAGCTTACTACAGCTGGCACTTGCCATGTCCCATGGAGCAGATGGATTTCAAAGGCTGAATCACCCAGGGCCACTAACAGCATTTCTAACTAAGCAAATGAAGATATTGCAGGTCTTTAATGACATATTTCCAGGACATAAGCTGATCACTGAGTGTGGGGAAGGGATTTTTCTCCCACTGTGCAAAGCAACACAGCCAGCCAGGGGAATTAGGGCTGCTCAGCAGCCACAAATACCTGGTCCTTCAGAGAAAGGTGGAGGCTGAATTTATCTGATTGGGTATGACAAAGCCTAGGTACTCATGAAGCCAGCTGGAAAAGGGGCTCCAAGAGGTCATGCTTACTGTGGTACCACAACCACTTCATCTGAAAGTCTCTCTGCAGCTGTAAATAAATGCAAATTTGCACCTACTCATAAATCAGGCAGCCAGCAAATGTAAATACCAAGGCATAGAGAGACTTCAGGAAAACAAAAAGCAGAGGAAGCACAGACATAGGCTTTTAAAGTCAAAGTCACTGTACCAACAACAATTTTGTTTGTTGCTTCACGGGGGACAAAGATATTAAATGGAAGGAAAGGATGTGGTGTGAATGATATGCAGGATAGAGAATAGAGGAATGAGAGTTACTTCTCTGGGGATGAATGGAGCAATCAGTGCACCTGCTCACTTGAGCAAGGGACTGTTCTGTAGTGGGCTTGTCTCTGGCCCTTTGTTATGGTGTTTAGGAAGTGCAATGGCTTTTTAAGGAAGTTCTCCCTAGTGCAGAGTTGTCCAGCCTGTAGCAGTGGTGCCACAAGTGGTATGGGTATGGGCAGCCTCTGTGTCTGGCATGTGGAAGACAGGAAGACAGCACAGCAAGAAGCAGAAAGCAGGGCATTGGATCAGGCAGGGAGAACAGGACAGGAAGCAGAGTAGCATCTTGGCCAGGGAGCACAGGGCAGCTGAGCAACAGATCAAATAATGGAAAGGGATCAGTGACCCTTGAGGAGGATGCAGGGCTAATTTGTGGCATATCTGCCAAAAAGGTTGGTCCTCATTGCCCTAGGTTAGGCCCAACATAGGCAGCCATAGGCTGCTCTCCAAGGCAACTTGTTGGCAAGCCACACAACAATGCTGTAAGAGCAGCCCCTAAAGCTACTTTATTTTATGACTGGGGACAGATTGGGTCCCAGAGCAGCCAAAGCTAGGGGTATGCAGAGGTGGTTTAAATGTGTCTTTGCTCTCCCCCGCTCCAGGGCACAGCCACAGTTTTCTCCCACCTCTTCTGCAGCTGTCCAGGAAAGAACACAGAGGGCTTGTCTACACATGCTATTAGCATGCAGCAGTAAACTCCAGTGCATATTGTGCCAGAGTTTTTTGCTTCCAGGTGCCATGTTTGAATGTGTGCCTGGGAGAGCAGTACACTGAGCCAAGGGGGCTCAGCGTGTCAGCCTGCCAGCCCAGGACTTCTCTGACTCGGCTCAGCATGCTGCAGAGGAGCTGGCTGGGGCATGAGGGTGCTTCAGTGTAGGGCTAGTTGGCAGGCAACCCCCAAATGATGCACCCTCCTGCCCCAGCCAGCCCTGTCAGCATCTACAAGTACATTGCTGTGCACAAGAAAACTCTGCAGCAGGATAGTATTTTTATTACAAGTACTACTCTTCTGTGGAGTTTATTATTGTAGCACACCCAAAATGTACAAGTAATTCTGTGCTATAAAGTGAGTTCATGCTGCCATGTATCTTGTTTGGCTGTACAGCATGATCGTGTTTTTTTGTGTAACATAATTATTGTATGTTGTCCCTCCTCTAGGACTGGAGAGGACCACCTCCCATCCCCTTCATTGTGTCCTGACCATTGCCTTAAGATTTCTCAACAGAACCTACAAAACCAGTTTAGTGATTCTGGCCAAATCTTGGAGTGCTGCTGACCACCTTTGAATGGATTGGTCTGCATTAGCAATGTTCTAGTGATGCTGTGTTGGGATCAGAAAAGTTATTTAAGGTTCAGGCCACCTGGGCTGGGGGCTTGCTCTTTGTTTTTCCCCTGGGTCCCCTGCCGAGGGGAGGGGGAACACTAGAATGTTTGCTGGAGCTTCAAGCCAGGCGGTACAGAGAGCCAGGGCTTCAAGTCAAGTAGCCATGTTGGGGTTTTGGACTGGGAGTCCAGGGCAGGAGCTGGTAGCTCACCTCTACAGTCACTCAGGTAGGAGCAGAGATCAGCACTCCACAGCAGCTCGGCAGAGTTGCATCAATGGGAATCCAGGACAGGAGAAGAGTTTGGCACCCCCACTAACTCGGCGGAGCTACATCAACTCACTGAAGAGCCCTTGCAGTGCAGAAGGGATGGACAGTGACAGTGTGGGAGATGACGTACCCAGATTCCCAGGGACTAAGCTCTTTCAGGTTGAGACTTCCCCACTCTCAGGCTTCCAAGCCTGGGGTCGAAGTTTCCCCAATAGGGATATGGGTG